TCTCAATGCCAAGTGCAATATGTAACAATCAACCACCTAACGTACGTCACTCGCCCCCAGATAAAGCACCCTGTAAATAAACTAACATATTTCGGCAAACAAAAGCGAAATGTGCTGCAATAAATTCAATTATAAATTAAAATGTAGTTCTGCATTCTTGTATTGAATATCGCCCCTAAGGGAACATACTGTATCTAAATATAAATAAAAGCACGTAAATCGGTCAGTAATTAATGTTGCCAGCGCTTGGAACAAAGGAGTACTGTAAATAGGAAAACAACATATTTATGTAGAATCTCTGTGCATTAAATTCAAAGTAGGACCAGTATAATTAAAAGTGCAATTTGTATCTAGAATGTGTTATAAATGGCAATAATAATAAATTGCTCTCAACAAAAGCACAAATACCTCTGCCAAAATCTCTCCTTTTTAACAAATCCTAGACGAAAATTGTTAATATCGACCGTGCTCCGAGACGTCGGGTCGATAGATGTTCCCTCGCATAGCGTTCATATTTGACACTTTTATTGTAAATTATGGGCCATTTCAATGTAGAGCAGAGAAGGAAAAAAACACGTGTTCCACGGAAACGAAACAAAGCGTAATCTTAACTTTTTTCGTCGCGCCAGGGTCGGTTTCGGGAATATTTAAATCGAATTTTAGCGGGCTAATTCGGTTCCATCACAAGCTTTTCGGAGAATTTTCCATAAGGTGGATGGGCACAACTCCAATTGCTGTGCATGATAGCTTATCGACTCATTCGGGTCCTCCTCAACACTACGCTACACAGCTGCAACAACTTCTGCAGTGTGCACTGAACCACGATTTTCGAAATAAACTTGCAAGAATTTGTACCACCTGCGTTAGTAAATAATATAGTTGCCAAGTTGCGGTGGAATGTATGGCCAGTGCATCTTTCGGGTTATCCAACCTCAAGGACATCGGCCACATGTGCGTTATGATCATGCAACGTAGAGCCACATAACGTGGATATAACGGGCGATCAAAAATGAGTTGCTGTCGAGTCGCCTTTGGAAGTACAAGTTAAATACGATTTCCCATGTAAACAAAAATTCCAAAGGTAACTCGACAGCAACTCATTTTTGATCGCATAGTATATTGTTGTGACCCCACGTTGGGCACCAAATAAAGAATGCTGTGGCCCCGCGTTGGGTGATAAATAAATAATGTTCTGACCCCATATTGGGCGCCAAATAAATAATGCTATGTGCAATGCGGCGCGGTCAACTACACAACTCACAAAACACTCTTCCAGCTTCCTGAAAAAAATATTGTAACTTTTTTGTGTCTTACTGTAAAGTTTATAACCTGTAATTAAACATCTCATATAGAAAACTTTTTTTTTCCTAATTGCAGCATGTCATTAAACAACATATACCTAATATCGTAAAACTTTCAAATTTTGTCATGCAACCGACGACATGCCGATTTTGGCCGAGCGTCGCTTACGTCACTACGCAGGTTGCCGATCGGGAGTTATATTAGTGTATGACACTGATAGGAGTTCGATTTGACTTATTATGGCAATCTGCCATAAACTGAGTTCTGACTGGTTCGTAAAGGGGCAGTTAGATAGTCTGCCAAAGGTTGAAGTGTTAATGGTCGCCGCCTTTTTCTCGAAAAGTGAGTTTTTGCATGCCACTCGTTTGAGTGGAGTCAAAGCCCAGAAGCAAATCTGTTATGGTTCATAGGATGTATAACATCAAGTTTTGTGTGTATAGTGCAAGGTATAGTGTAGGTACCTAATAAAGTATGCACCTTACGGATTTCAACGAGAAAATTAGGGTGTTGGATATGTGGAAGTGAAAATAGAGAAAAATGTGTGCACTGTAAGGGCACAGATATGCCCAGAATAGAGTTCGAAGTAAATCATATTCTGAATTACCATTACAATATTATATATCGATGGATTTTCGTCGATAACTGACTGAAACTAAATCGACATTATGTACTTTAATTAATTAGAATTGTCTTCACAACAATACAAATGGGATGTCAAACTCGCGGTATCACGTCGAACTTTTTCGTATATTTCCTGTTGGGACGTTTATATACAATTTATTAGGTTCGCGATGACTTCTGCTATCACACCCAGGCACAAATGCAATAATTATTCGACGCTTTTTTCCGTCAAAACGACGTTTTCTTTCTCTGAATCGATTGTAAGCAATGCTACGGCTGAGCGCCAACGTGCGTAGTGACGTCACAGCAACATGGCGGTCATTCGAAACTTTTCAAACGCCGTTCATTTTAAAATCGTGTTTGCTAATCACAACGATTTCTCTTGACAAAAAAATGAGTACCACTAATTTTTTTAATGTGCTTGGAGTTCATTTTCAAGGTTTTTGAAAAAACGCGGAAAACCCAATGCTTATGATCTCTCATCGTAAAATCCTAATTAAGACAGAAAATTAATAATATACGAAAATCAGTAGCCGAAAATTCCAAAAAATCAATTACAAAAAGTGTTTAACACACAAATAGAAAAATCTTAACATGAGAACTCTATCTGGGTCGTAAAACGGCTTCAAATAAACACAGTTTTTTCTTAGGAATCCGTGTAACGCCAAAACAACGATTGCGATAGACGCCGCGTTTAGTGCTAACACAAAAACACTCGTTGAAGGCATCAGGAAACTTCATTTCTTTTATATTGCACTGAACTCAATCACTCGAATTTGTTAAATTAAAGGGCAAAATTTCTTTCTTATGGCTATCCTGACGGGAACGAATTTCAACGTTGATAAAATAACGTTCTAAAACGGTTTCATTATGCACTAAATCTGCTTTTCAGAATCCAACGTAGCTCTTTCTTCCGTAAACGGACAAACTGCATTAAACTTTGCACGAACTTTAACTTAACTGCATCTGCACATTCTGATTGCCAATTACTTGACAAAATTAGCGTACAGAAACGTACACGCTCTTTTCCCATCGCGAGATGAACAGCATACGGCGAGACAATCGTATTTTAACCAAGCTCCGTCCTTTTTAATTTCCTATCTATCAGAACATCACTCCCACTAAACCATCATATGTCTACTTCCGCGAGTCTCAAATGTATCGGCAATAAAGTGCGCTTGAGGTGCCCCCTCTTCCATAACAAAATTACGTGCCAAAAATTGTGCACCTGAATCATTTGTTATCCGCGACAAACGCACGTGCTTCTTTTCGCGATAACATCGTCCTTATCGCACACGACCAGATGTTCCTTAATTTTAAATAACGCAATTTTCACACCTTACAATTTAAATAAACAAATTTATACGAATGATAAAATTTAAACATGAAATTATGCGATTAAAAACAATTCTAAAATTGACAAATAGACACTAAAATAACTAATTAGAATAAATAAGCCAATTCTGTGCTTATTTTCCAGATTTAAATTAAATTAAGAAATTCGCATTTTATATATTACTATACAGAGTAGCCCGTTATTATCTTCCGTATCATTTCAGTCTACATAAATAACGTCCGCCTGATAATGTGATTTGTATAATTTGTGACCTGAGCAAATGGCACTGCCTTTACTCAAAACCCACTGCATGAACGGCCAGCTAGCTCAGGGATCATGTATACAGAAAGGGGCATGAGAAAGTATCCAGATGCTAGTTCGGTAGGGCATAAAGCCTAGGTCTTTCTTCACGCCAGGGAGACAGTTTAAACTTTCGCGGCCTTTGGCGACGATGGATGTTGTACCTTTTCTGGTGTTGTGTAGTGGATCCAACTCTCGTCCTCCGTGCCACTACAGTCCATGAATTCTTCGCCATCAGTTTCCTTGGCCTGCAGAATTCGGGAGCCGCTTTCACACGTTTCCGTTTGCCCCCCTCCCCACATTTTTTGTCAAAATTAAGAATATTGGTCTTGCTGACATCGGGGATCACCTCAGTGAGATCCCGAACCGTCATCCTTCGATCTCGTAGCATTGCTTCTTCCACTTTCGCAATCGTGTCGTCTGACACTGATGGCCGTACAGAACGCTGCTCGTTGTGGACGTCTGTATCATCTTCGAATTGCCTGCACCACTTTCACATGTTTTACGTATGAGCGTACACTGTTCCCCATACACTTCACACAGTTGGGAATGAATGTCCACCAACGCAATCTTTTTTGCATACAAAAAATGAATCACAGGTCGTAATTCACAAGTGGCGGGAAAAGTGAGTGGAAGCTTCGTCTCTAATGGCACCCAAGCCAAGACTGAGGTAGAACCAAACTACATGCCAGTGTTGCCAAATCTCACGTTACAGCGTTACCTGGCGAGGTAGGCACAAGGATAAATAGATACAAATCTTACCTGTTAATGTTAAGTGATGAAACTTCTATTGCAGAGAGCTCTATCCAAAGTAATACTAGAGCAAGGTATTACGTAAACAAATAGTAGTCCGAATCTACACTCGGGTACCAATAATTGACCATGCTCGAAGAACCGAACTCGCTTGGCACTTCCACACTCAAAACTAGACATTTCTTTAGCACCCTAAAGAAGACATGTTGCTTATGCGGTGTTGATACTTCTATCCCCCCAGCGTTACTTATCTATGAAAGTACCTCTCGATCTAGTTGATAAAATTGACGGACACAAATGATATCATTATGGTAAAACATTTAAAAACTACGATAAAATTAGGACGACACTAGAAACAACGATGTAAAAGTAAATTGGTTCAATCTCCATATAAAACGCATAGAAATCCTAAAAATAACGCACAAGGTAAGAAATGTTATGAAAATGGCTGCTACTCACGTATTCATCAAAATTCAATTCTCCACAAAAAGAAAATCAAGCGTTCAGATTCGATTCACAATAATTCGGGAATCACGCAATCCGGTTAATCGCCAGAAGGTAATAATACTTGTTCACTTGGCCCCGGTATTTCGAGTCTACTCAAAAAGACGTATTCCGTTTACGGCTAACGGAACCTGACTTGATTGACTTAACACTGACTAACATCATCTTTCCTTCTTAATTTCAGACCGCGAAAAAGAAGGAAACAGAGACAAAAAACAGACCTCTTTAAGTGACGATGAGGACAGTTCCGCAAAGAAAGAATCCGTTCCACCTAGACGTTTTATATCTTCGATATTAGGAGGCGACGTTCCCTACGGCAGCCGTGGACACGTATTGACAAGAGCGGAAAGAAAAGAGTACCCGCCGCTAGTTCCACCAGATAAATTGGTACTTCCTAGCGTCAAAGAGCCATCTCAAACACCATCCCCTCAAAATTTGGCCCCAGTAAGATGTTCGGTGATACAACGCACACCAAAAACGAGCAAACGAGAAGAAGATAACGATACAAGGATACCCACTCACATAGCAATTCAGGAACCCGAACAAGATCAACCTATCGACTATCACATACCGAAGCGTCGCGGCGAAACCGAAGATGAAAACGAGGAGCGCAAAAATCGGGAACAGCGACGAAGCCATTGCTCAAGATTTAATAAACCCCTTATATCCGTACGCGCCCTTATCGGAAAACTTCCAGTGACAATGTCCGCGGCCGCCGGTCACGGGCGCGGTAGTAGTGGGGCGCAAAGTAACAATAATCAAGCTTCTGGAAGTAGTTCTGGTGGTAGTGGTTCCATAAACTTTTCCGGCGGAACTTCGGGGTCATCGGGAGGGGGATCGGTGAGCGGTGGTAGCGGTAACGGCGGTATGAATCCCGGGCGAGACGGGCGCCAAACGTACGGGCCTAGTAGTCCGCCAACCGGAAGCCTTCCTCCATTCTACGAGTCGCTCAAAAGTGGAAACGCAATCTCGAATAACTACAATTCAAATAATAGCTGTAATCAGTTGAACATCCCTATACACATGGATTGCGACACTGGACAAGAATTAGTCAATTTAAACATGAATGGTGCACAAAACTCCCCGAAACAATATTCAATGCTTCAAAACGCTTCATACGGATTAGTAATGAAAGACGAATCAGATATAGATTCCTACGATACCAAAATAGACCCCATGGGGAATTTACTTCCAAACTCCTACTCAGTATATGACGACTCGATGATGGTCGACATGGTGACGGGAGCAGTAGTTGACCCTCTCCAATTCACCGCAACCCTCACGTTTTCAAGTTCGGCAGAACACGCTTTGTTAGAAAGCCTATCGGACGCCGCCGATTTATCAACATTTTTACAACGACTTCCTAACGAAGAAAACGATAACGACGAAATCATCACAAACGAAATGCATTCGCCGTCGATTACTCCCGATTCCCATCTCCAAAACGTAGACCACAACATGGATTCGTTCTCTGATCAACTCCTAAACAGAAACTACGACAATCGAGGCTATCAACACCAATTCGGAAAACTGTACCCCGACTCCCTTCCGTCCTATCAACCGACCGTGAACACCGACGTTCAAATGCAAATTCAGCAGCAAATGCTATCGCCCAGTTTATCGTTTAACGGAAACGGAATCGATTTAGACTCACCAACGGCGGTCTCAATGCCATCACCCGGCGCGGCGAGCTGTTCGTTAGAAAGTCAAAATGACAGCAGTTCTCTTAGTCCTCCAGCAAGTATCAGCAGTAGACGAGAATCGTCTAGTAGTGAACCTCCTTCATTACAAGGCAGAGTCAACCTTTTACAACAAAGGGTAAGTAATATACTTAACCTCTCTTGTAAAACAATTAAGACAATGCACTAAATTGTTGATAGGATGACTGGTAGTGAAGGAGGTTGACGGCATTAGTTTTAAGCAAAATTATTTTCAAAATTCTTGTCACTTTTCGGCCAAATTTCCACTTGAATAAAGTACGCTGTGTAATTTTATTTCGATCTTTTCAGTTGGGATTACCATCAGAAGTGCAATTAGAGTTTGTAAATGGCGGACATGGAATAAAAAATCCCTTAGCAAGTCAAGATCCGGTTAGGCCGAGAACGGAAGAAAAAGTTAAGGTGACTTCAATTACCAATGACGATGGAACTTCCACGTTTTGTTGCCGGATTTGTAACAAAAGTTTTGGTCTGCAGCGTCTCTTAAACAGACATATGAAGTGTCATTCTGACATCAAAAGATACCTCTGCACTTTCTGTGGGAAGGGCTTCAACGATACATTCGACTTAAAAAGGCATACACGGACGCATACTGGTAAGTAATTTTCGTAGCCAGTTTTGTATTTTTCTCATTTCATTACCTACGCATTCTAAATAATAAGTGGTACCAATTCAGAACCTTGAGGGACACCACAAAATGTACATATATCATATTAGCTACTTAAGGAATTAGAACGTGAATTCTCGCAGGAAAAAGATGGGTAATGGACCATTACGCAGAGAGGCGCGAATTTTGCAATATTCGCATTGCTAACGAATATTTGCACACCTGCAATTTAAGCGAATATTTCTCATACATTCTCGAAAACTGTACAAGAACATTCTTTCGAAATTTTCCAGTTGATACTAGTTTTTAATCGACCAACCCCCGATTTCACAAGGTTATGCGAAAGTTAACAAGTATACGTTCAGTAGTTCTTCTGGGGAAAGTTCTTTGTTATCCTAAAATTTGATATCTGAGTAACAAAGAACTTTCCCCAGAAGAACTACTGAACGTATACGTACTTGTTGTTCGTGCGCATTGAGTTTTTTGCATTTTCGTAAAGATTTTTGAATCTTGATTCTTATTTTCGAAGTTTTGAGTAAGTTTTCTTTAATTTGTCTGGTATTTGTTATCGCATATAAACTGAGAGTAAAAAGTTTTTCTTTTTTATGTATGTTAAATATACAATTTAAAACTCAGATGCGTTTTATTGCTTTTAAAAAAAACTTTCTTAAATGATTGATTTGGTTTTTGGTGTAATTAATATGATACATTTTTCAAAGATGAATATTATCAAAAATTCGCGAATATTCTCGAAAGTTCCCGAATATTCTCAACAATAAATAAATTACCGGAATTTTACAATTTTTTTATTTGGATAATATGTGTTTATTGTTTTTGACAGTTTGCATTTGAGATTGTGTCTTGTGTTTTCATATGTCTATATATTAATGATTTAAACTGTAAAGTACGGTAGAACTGTAACACCCTGTACATCGATAACGCAGCATTTGCGGACCTATGTTTATATGAACTTTTGGTCATAAAATAAGTCAAAGAATTATCCCTTGTACATTTTTTCTACTGTTAGCACATCGGTTAATGATTAATTATTTTTTTGATCAACCTCGCATAAATTATCAAAAACGACTTATCCAGTAGAAGAATCCAAAAATGTACAAATATACAGGGTGCAACATTTAAATTTTGAAATGTATCTAATTTCAATTTGTCATTCGTGCAGCAAAGACATTTCAGGGCACGCCCTTATCCAGTATCCTTTTACTAGATTTGGTAGCACGTCCTGTAGGAACTCCTCTCAGTTGTGGTGAAACAGGCATTTCAGTATCGAAATTATTGCGGAATTTGCGACCATAGGGTACATACCATCAGATCCTTTTTTGTAGATGTGTATCATTGCTAGCTCACGACATCATCCGTTACTAATATTTTATTTTTATACATTTTTTGCATCAATAGCTTAATCAGAAAGCTCTAGGATTGGCGATCCAGGCGCAGGTTTCCTGTTTAACTATGATTTAGTGTCCCATTCCATCAATTAAAAAAATGAAGAATCGAAAACACTTTTTTGAATAGTCTTATCTGCTGCCTAAGTTGTGACGAACTTTGCAGGGAAGTCCGCGCGCAAATGGCATAAAAAATTAGAGTCGCTAGGCGAATAATAATTAAAATTTAATTTAAAACAAAAACAAATAAATATACAAATCAGAGCAATTAATGTAATAGTGGCAGTCGGCGGCAACCTGGGTGTCTGTCTGCGGAACGAACGGACGGACGGACTCGAGCGCCACCAAGCGAACGGCCTCGCGCTTGGTCGAGGTCGGTGCTAGCAGCGGTCTGGCCGGTCCGTCTCTGGTAAAGGCAACCGGAGAAACGATAGGAACTAGGGGTTCTGAAGGACAAGCGGCGGCCGGCTACTGGCGAATGCTAAACCCAAAATTAACACGCAGATCTATTTCCCAAAGCGGGAACAGTAAATAAGCGGATTCGGTATCTACGGGAAAGCATTTGCAATTTATTATTATTATTTACGGTCCTTCCCAGACGTCTTAAAAATACAGGACCGGTGTTAAAATTCAAGTTAATTAAGAGCGCTTCTTTGAGATAAGGCCTAGCTCAATCGGACGGTTTTTCTGTAACTCATTTAAATGTCAATCATTAATTATAACTCCCAACTCCAATATCCGTTAATCCAATTAACACATTTTGGAATTTAAGTGCAATCGGCGTGCTATACAGCGTTCGTCAAAACACTTTTCTATCCTTGTTTTATTGAACACATGGAATCTAAAATCGTTTGTTAATTTCCTAATAAAGCTGAAATCTTAAAATATTAAATCGCCGTCACGCCAAGGGCTATCGGATACTACAAAACTAATTTACCTATCCCTACGCGAACAATGAAAACGGCGTAAATAATAGTATATTAAGTATGGAGAACGGTAAGGGATTTTTACCGTTCGAAGACAATTGTTTGGAGGAGGAGCGGAGCGACGACTCCAATTATTGTCTGAGAACGGTAACCCTTAACGTTCGACGTGCTTATAACATTTTTTGCGCGATCGAAATTAAAATTATTCAACCAATATAAATATGCACTAAGAAATTAACGAGCAGAATAAATCGAAATGATCGAAGTGGTATGGTGTACATCACTAGGTAACCAGTTTATTTGTCAAAATTGAAATTAATAATTTCATAAAATTGTGCATGTGTCTGATGTAGTTTGCTAGCTTTGCACTTCCTTTATGACTTTATGAGCCAGGTATTTGCCGGTGGCCGAATGGTATGTCGAAGATTAAATTAAAGATTAAATGTAATGTAAGACTGTTAACATTGAACTGATTGTTTTTAAAAAGGCGTCGGTAAGTATTTTTGCTGTTCTGTTTTCAGATCGGTAAGTAATTTTGGCGTCGTCGTAATCATAGCAACTGGTAAATTCCACTTACTGTCATGGAAACACACATGGTAAATAGTCAGAAATGACCGATCGCGCAAAAAAGTAAATAACTTCATTTCAAAGTTCGTTAGTTTATTTTTTCGAGTTTTATAGAGATTAGATAAAGAGATTTTAAGAGTTAGAGAAGCATACGTATCATAGAAAATGTACAGGGCGCCGGAATTTAAAGGGCCGATGTTCCAATAAATTATGTGGCTAATGGAATTTCGCAAGGATTTGGTGGAATTGAAGATTGTTCTTTCTGCGTCTTTTAATTTCTGTAGAGCGTTGTTTTCATAATGGGTTCCAGATGTCTGGAGAAGAGATGTCGCTGTAATTAGAGCTAAAGTGGGTATAAGCATGAGATCATTGTTTATCGTGGAAAACGCAGCGTGGTATATGTTTGTCACGCGTGGGATTTGATTTATTACCCTAGCTTTTATTTGATTAGTAGTGCAGAAATGAAGGAAACGGATCAACAAGTTAAGATGTCCGTGTTTCATTGATAAGAAGCCATTTTGTGGGTGGTAGTTAATGAGCAAGTGTAGTAAGGATTCTTACGGAGAGATTTTTGGCATGCATTCGGTTTTGGGCAACACGTGGTCCAAGTTATTAATTCCATTTTGAGCAGTAAACGCAAGATTAGTTACAAGAGCAAACAATACTTTATTTTCAAAAAGTTTCGGGCATAAAACTCAGTGGTGATATTTGGATATAAGATATATATTTTAATGATAAGATAGATATATGTATATGCTAATAAGTAATAATATATTCGAGCGTCTGGCAGCAATTTCGCGGATGGCGCGGCGGTGGTGGTTAGTCGAATATTTTGAAAATTCAAACAGTTTTATTATGAACCTTGCGGTATATAGACTTTGAAAGGCGCCATTAATTACAAATGGGGAACTGTCGCATTTATGATAGCATAAACGACGGCAATAACCGGAAGAAAGAGACTGACATATCAACCTCAGTCTCCGCCAATAGAATGGAAGTCCTCCGCTTCACTATAGATAAATATCTGAGCTTCCACGAGCATGTTAATGTTCACCAACACCAAAGCAACTAAGTTGACAAAGAAACTGCTAGGTCTTATACAAAATTGCTAGGGACAAGCGGCCGGCACCAGAAGGATCTTAAACGCGGTACTGAATAACACAATCTTGCACGTGTTTGAGATATAGGGATGACCAATCGACCGGTAGGTGGCGAAACAGAAGCTCGACAACGCTGAGACTGTTCATCAAAGAGAGGCGGGGCGGATCGGGCATGGAGACCAGGATACAGAGTCCGAAAGAGTTCCTACAAATTTACACAGAATGCATTTAAAGAATAATAATAATAATAATAATATTTTTTTATTTGCAAAATGTACATAATAAAATAAGCACAGGAAGCAACATAACGTCAAATACAGTAAATACAAGAAGCTGGAAGACGAAGACTCAACGATGAAGAAGCCAAAGGTATGCCGAGTTCCCCTAGAATTCGTCGAACAAAAGAACTGAGAAGAAGAAAATTCCAAATCACTGCCCACTGAGGATAGATATAGAGGGAAATCTGGAGCAAGACCGGTAACTGTGGAACACGCTAAACACAAATTTTACAATATACAAAAATTAACAATTGGAGAAAAAGCTCCTCTTGAACTTTAATCATTTAAATTCGACGTTAATTTAATACAACATTTGATAAGCCAAAGAATGACCACCTCAAATAGATTCCACTTCTTTCCCATTTGTGAAAAATAACATTCCGTAGTCTCTTACATAAAGTACATGAAATGCATTGTTAGTTAGTCGGAACTTTTCCAGTCCAGAAGGTATCTGAAGGTCCTGGATATGGTACGCAAAGTATCTTTAAAAAAAGTTAATTAGGTATTGGACAATAACTGCATTGTTTCGTTATGTAAGTTTTTCCAGCGGTGCCTCGATCTATACTTATACGCTAACGTTACTTGTCGTTTGAAATCTTGAAAGCAGACATCTCACCTGATAACCCCCCCCCCTCCATCTCACACGAATTTAAACTAGGGAGAAAGGGTTTAGTGGGGAAAGATCCCACACTACCTTCGCTGTTGAACATAGCATTAAGATTCCCTAATTCCTATTTTAAAAGAAAGGTATAGGTAAGTTGGCAAGTTTCTTAAAAATTCAAAATTAAAAAAACTCAGCAACACAAGATGGTCGTGATTATTAAGAAATCTATAGTGGAAAATTAAGCAATTCTTGAAAACAAGGTGCTGTTTCGGTATTTTCCAAAGAGAAATTTGAATTCTTTACTTCTCACCAACAGCAGCAGCTGCCTCTGAGGCGAGTATGCCACGACGCGTGACAGAAAATGAGCAGATAATACGAGGACATGGTTAGATCTGACCTTTTGCTATATTGGTTATCTTTACTGGAAGGGATGCGATTGTGGCCCTTAACTTTTTCAGTCAAGAATAGCAGCCATGATAAGAAGGTTTTCATGCAGTGCAAAATTGACAGAAGTCATGGTTCTTTCCTATATCCGCGAAATAAGCAGCAAGCCACCTCAAACGCAGGGCCGGCGTTCTTACCTGGAATTAGAGGGTGTGCGCCACTAGATTAGCACCTGACGGGTTAACTTTTTGAATATAAGAAAAGGTTGTTCAACACAAATCTTCTTCTTATTTATTTTATTTGCCTTTTATTTTTAAGTGGGCGTGATTGCCAATGCTTCTCCACCAACTAAATCAAGGTTCTTCTCTGGAATTGTAGTCTAGAATGAATTGTAGGTACCTCAGGACAAAATGATAAATTACTGGGTATGTTTAAATAATGAAGTGTAAGCGACTTTGTAGCACTTCTAAAGCTTCTATTGGGTTTGCATCATATACAGGGCGACACCGAAGATGTTGTGTGTATACTCCGCCATATTTCAAAATGGATGAGTAAGGAAAATTCGTTCGAATGCCTTATATGTCGCGTAAGCGCGGTCTCGAAATTCCATAAAACGAGATATACAATGCGCTTTAAAAATAATTTTTTCTACAACTGTCAAAAAAACCTGTCATTTTCTGACGGATTTCGAAACGCGAAGTACTAGATTTTTAATCGGTTAATTAATAAGTAAGGTTGCTCTTGACAACGTGCGCGAAATCGTCAACAGTGAAAAAAAGTATTTCGCGCACGGGACAAAGTTAAACTTAAACAGCAATTTAATTAACAATCGGTTCAGTTGTAGAAAAAATATTGTATATAACGCTAGCGCGAAGTTATTTCGTGCATTTGACTGATATTTTAACTCGGCTTCGCCTCGTCAAAATACCTTCAGTCTCAATGCGCGAAATTGAACTTCGCGCTCTTGTTATATAAATAACTATTTTCGTTAACTTTGGAGTAGGTATGTAGTGTTTGAAGGGCAGTGTTCATCTTGTTTCATTGTCAAGTTTCCACTTAGGTATAAAATGGACTTTTGATTTGATTTTTGGCTTGCGCAAGTTTCCGATGGGAGGCGCCCTTTCACGTAAAATGCAATAAAATCCACTTGAGATCCTCAAAAGTTTATTATTTATATTATTATTTCCATTCCATTTCCATTTTCACTATAATATCTATTCTAAATACCAAAAAGAGTAGCATCGAATTATCGAGGTAACTGTATGAGTTTCGTGTTTATTTTCCATCACTGCTACTGCGTAAATTGGAACCTAAACTAATCGTTTTTAGCGCATTTCCACAAAAATAAAAAATAAATGCGCTATTGTGGCCACTTTGTCCGTCCGTACGTCCGCTCGTTCGTTGACGGTTGAGACGCTACTAGTTCTTTATCTTACGAGCTATTGTTCTACTTTTTTCGCTATTTGATTCGTTATGGTGCCGAGGCTTGCACCAAGGAAGGAATTTTTTCTGCGTTTATTGCTAAAAAAGTTATTGTAAAAAAAACAAAAACCGTTTTTTTACATGTTCCATAATTTTACACTTTTGCCATTTATTAACGGTCCGAGATCGTATATAATTTTGGATTGCTGTCTGTCGTCTGTCTGTTGGTCTGTCTGTCTGTCCCTCCATCTGTCCGTGTGAAAGATAATTTTGTTTAGAAAGGTCCGATCGCTTTTAGATCTCCGTTAGTTATGAACTGAATTGCATGAAATTCAATATGGGCATAGCTTTAGCCATATCAAAATTCACAGTGCCCTTTTCGCATCTCGACCATTTATAAACCGAATTGCAAACTATTTTATTTATAAGTATTTGAATGAAATTTGCATGCGCAGTGCCAACTTTTTTATTTATGGAAGCATTTAAATGAAATGTGATACATAGGCACTTGGAATAGAGGAAAATCTAACGCCAGTTTCAAAATTTAGATTTGCGCATGCGCAGTTCCAACTTTTTTTATTTAGAAAAGCATTGAAATTCAATTCTTCTTATAAACAGAAATTAGCACGTCAAAAATGGATTGCACATGTGCAACGTTAACTTTCATATTTGTGGCCAGATTTTTACGATTTTAACAACAGTTGCATCTTACAAATGGGAAATGAATGCAAGTGGAAATGCGCTTTTTAGCGCATTTCCACAAAAATAAAAAAAAAATGCGCTATTGTGGCCACTTTGTCCGTCCGTCCGTCCGTCCGTCCGTCCGCTAACTTTGCGACGCTACTAGTTTTTTTATCTTAAGAGCTATTGTTCTACTTTTTTCGCTATTTGGTTCGTTATGGTGTCGAGTCTTGTACCAAGGAAGGAATTTTTTCTGTACCGCTTACAAAAAAAGTTATTGTAAAAAAAAAAAAACCGTTTTTTTACATGTTCTATAATTTTACACTTTTGCCGTTTATTAACGATCCTAGAGATCGTTTATAATTTTGCATTGCTATCTGTCGCCTGCCGGTTGGTCTCTCCGTCTGTTCCTTTGTCTGTCTGCCCATCTATCTGTCCGTGTGAACGATAACTTTGTTTAGAAATGTTCGATCGCTTTTACATCTCCGTTAGTTATGAACTGAATTGCATGAAGTTCAATATGGGCATAGATTTAGCCATATAATACGCAATGCCAAAAGTTGAATCGAATCGATTCAAAATTCACAGTGCCCTTTTCGCATCTCGACCATTTATAAACCGAATTGAAAACTTTTTTACTTATAAAAGTATTTGAATGAAATTTGATACATAGGCACTTGGGATAAAGGAAAATCAAACGCCAATTTCAAAATTTGGTTTTGCGCATGCGCAGTGCAAACTTTTTTATTTATGGAAGAATTTAAACGAAATTTGATACATAGGCACTTGGGATAAAGGAAAATCAAACGCCAATTTCAAAATTTAGTTTTGCGCATGCGCAGTGCCAAGTTTTTTATTTATGGAAGAATTTAAACGAAATTTGATACATAAGCACTTCGAATAAAGGAAAATCAAACGCCAATTTCAAAATTTGGTTTTGCGCATGCGCCGTGCCAACTTTTTTATCTATGGAACTATTTAAGTGAAATTTGGTACTTAGGCGCTTGGAACAAAGGAAAATCTAACATTAGTTTTAAAATTTAGGTTTGCGCATGCGCAGTTCCAACTTTCTTATTTAGAAAAGCATTGAAATAAAATTCTTCGCATAAACTGAAATTGAAGTAGCACGTCAACAATGGATTGCCCATGTGCAACGCTATCTTTCATATTTGTGGGCGGATTTTTACGATTTTAACAGAAGTTGCATCTTACAAATGGGAAATGAATGCAAGTGGAAATGCGCTTTATGTAAATCGTTTACGATTACTTTTTAACTTGTTATAGGATATCTATCCTACATACAAAATTTATTATTGAATAATTTATGGTGTATATTGACCATTTATTTTTCTTTCCAGGTGTAAGACCATACAAGTGCAACCTATGCGAAAAGTCGTTTACCCAGCGATGTTCACTCGAGTCTCACTGTCTGAAGGTCCACGGCGTCCAACACCAGTACGCGTACAAAGAACGAAGGACCAAAATGTACGTCTGCGAGGAATGCGGACATACAACGAACGAACCGGAAGTACACTACTTACATTTAAAAGACAAGCACCCCTATAGTCCTGCTCTTTTAAAATTTTACGACAAAAGACATTTTAAATTTACAAATTCAAATTTCGCCAACATGTTGTTGCAAGTGCGTACGTAAGATTTGATTAATACCGTTGACATTACCTTATACCGTCCAGGAAAAAGTAAAACAGTAAATGTTCAAAAAATACTAGTTTGTCTCCACATTTTTCCCAGTTCTTTTTTTTAATAATCTTTGCTAGTTTGTCAAAATTATTTATTACCTGATTTCTAGCGATGGAGGGAGAGACAAACATTTCTTCTGTGATAATTTGAACTGAAAAGAAGTACCTTACATCATAATTGTAACGCCTTTGATGGAGCCTTACTTTCATACTTAAAATTTTTTGTATTACCTACACATATTTGTAGTTATAACAGGATATATCCATAATTGTTGCAAATATCAACAAATCAATATAAAATCGGGTTTTCTGTGCAATGAGGTGACAGGTATATGGGGTTACTACATTAAGTTAATCTAGTTTAAAGTCTGAAGTTGTAGAAAGAATGGAACGAAGTTAGAATTTAGAAAAAAAACTTAATATCGGGAATCTTAATTCGTCACAGTTCTATATTACAAAATGTAAAGGTTTTGGGCAATGAAATATTTTCTAAACTTTAACACGTTCCTTATAAACTATTCTGGTGCTTCATAGATTGTAAATCACTATGCGGTGCTGCAGGATGATTAGTTCTCTACCGTATGTATTATTATTTTAGAAAAGCTTGTTTTATACTTGTGATTTATCTTGTACTTAATGTTTTTATTACGCTTTTACAACGAATATTTTAATTTTGCAATACCTACACAATGAGACACATTCTTCTTTTCGATTCTTACTGTTCTTGTTAATCTTGAATGCATCTGTAAAAATATGACAAAATATATTATTTTTACATATGCTGTGTGGATAATGTTGTATATAAGTTAGTGTTAAGTACTTTTCTATTCCGAACGTTGGATTATGGTTCAACCTTGTTTGTATGACTTAGCCAGTACCTAATTTAAAGTTTAATCTATCGAATACTTCTTTTTTACAACACAGTATTTTTAGTGTACATTTTATTTAAATTATGACTCTGACTGTATTTTCTTAGTTGATCAATTTCGATGATATTTTTACATCACCTTAAGATCATAACGTAGCTGTAAGCATATTTTAAAAATGCATCTTTCCCACAACATACGTAAAGTTTTTTTTTAATGTAAATCATTCATGGCTACATCACTGACACATTTACAACTTACAAAATGTGTTTCCTAATTTATATTGTTATAAATAAAATATCTATTCATTTTTCTTTTTCGTTTTATTATTCTTTTACTTTTAGCAGGAATGATATAGTGAAAATCAAAGTAAGCCATATTTTTCCTTGACTTCTGAGACGAAGCATCACATTAAATTGTTAGAAAAATCTAAAACTTGGGGTCTGTGAATCTTTGAGCCTGAAAATAAATAATTCACACTTAGTTTTTTGAAAATTTCAGAAAACTACAATTTTTCGGCCACACTAAGAAAAGCGTAACAAATACCTAATACCGCTAATAAAGTCTACATATGGACATAAAGACGCAGCGAAAAACTGCGTACCACGGTCACTAAAAGATAGGCGTTCTACCAAGAATATACTATGAACGACAAAACAGTCAAATTGTACCAAATTCTGCTGTTATTGGACATGGAATTCAGGAATTGTTAAGCCGCGGCTGTTTGTGTGTGAAGAATTATTTGATGTTAAGGGCATCCATGGTCGACTATCAAAAGAGCGCTCGCTAGAATAAAAATTATCAAAGTCCTCGTGTGAGATCGAAGGGACTTCAGCGCATTTTTGTGTGGCAGATCAGTATTCTATTAGCCACTTTCGACTCAACCATCAATAACAGATCTTGTCGAAGGCTACTACATTCACTAACCGTTTCCCACTTTCCGCGTGCACCCGCAATTCGCTTTTAAAGTTTTGACTCCACCATCAGTAAGATAGTGTCGGGGGCTACCACATTCCCTTTGACGGTACCCACTTCCGACGTCCCGTTCACCCGCAATTCGCTTCTATTGGCGACACGAGAAAAAGAGACAGCGATTCGAGATTTACGAAACGTTAAACCGCGTGAGTTGGCAACGGAAGGTAAAAGGCGCCCGAAGTTGACTACTTCTCGAAGACGCGCGCGCGCCTCGCAAAAGGTCGTTAATTTCGCCCCTAGGACAAAAAACAAAATTCCGCCACGCAGGAGTTGTGCGCGTTTACAACATCTTTCCGACGACACCAATTTGAAAAGAATCGGACCAAAACTGTAGTAGAAGATAGGAAAAAACTGAAAAACCTTCACGTTAGTATACTACACTCGAGGATGACGCCCAGATGTCGCCAACCCCACATCATGTAGCCATGTCCCTAAGGTTGACAAATTTCACGGCCTTGTAGATACACGTACACCCGTTGCCTTATTTCTACAAGAGTTCTTTTACGCGCCCAGATTTGCAGCCAGCCAGCCAGCCAAAGTGAGATTAAAAGCTACTTTGTACAAATAAATTTGCAAAAATGCGCTAAAAATAATTGGGGAATATTAGCGCTCAACGTGGGGCATCCAAAGTGTGTTTCGTCAAAGAGTAGTGCCACAGATTTACATATACTACGATATGTCATGCCATGAACCTTTGAATACCCCCCACCACTTCATTTTTAGAGATACAGCAATAATTGTCAAACAAAAAAGGTTCAGATTATCGTCGATTTCAAAGACCGGCCATTTTTTTGTTAGGCTAATATAGCGGAATTCACAGAGACATCATTTTTTTAGATTCCAGATTGCAGTTACGCCCCCTAGCGGCCATTTCAAAAATTTAAAAATATTTTCCGGGTTTTTTTCGTGGCCGTTTTAGTGATAAATTTTTTTACCGCAAGCCTCTACGATGGATAGCCACCCTGTACATAAATTATTAAATAACGCCCATCGCCTAACATAAAAACGCCCGTCGTTAAGGTTCTGGCCAAGGTGGATTCATTCATTCATTCATAACCGTGGCGGCACTCTGATCGTTTTATATAGGAAGCGCGTTTACCAAATCTGACCTCGCATGCTTATTGCCTACCTTCCAGTCGTAGGCTGGTTTTACTATGGAGTCTTATGGGAGATACTACGTTTTTTGTGTATATAATCATTATTTAAAGATTTCTGATGTTGTACCTTATACAATGTGTTAGTGTACCCATGGATTATGATTTTACCTTACGGCAGCAACTTCATTTTGTTTCTCCAGTACAAAAAAAATGTTCAAAGTTTTTCCGCCTGCATGTAGGCAACAAAGCGTTCAGATGGGTGCAAGATTGTCATTGAAATAAAATAACAGCTATGCCGCTCAAATTTATTTATACAATTTTAAATTTCTTTATCGAATCTTTAATTTTTTTTCTTTTATCCGCATCCTCTAGTCTGCGTTTGTTATATTGTTTGCATGTAAAAATCATGCGAGTTGTTAGATGAAACCGTAAAAGGTCTTTCGTCAATTTCCTTTTGTGTAGTTCACAGCCCACTGGTTTGTAGGTATTAAGTTTGGCATTTTTAATAACTGCAAAAGTAAAATATAATTTAAAAAAGTTAATATCGTGCAAGCAACATGCAATAGTATATTATAAGTAACAAGGGATTAAAAAGAGTTGTTGTTTTCGAAAGAATAGTTAATGTTCTTGAGGGACCAAAAACTAGTTTGATCCAGTGTTACTTATACTATTTTTTCCAACACCGACCGTTCTAAATTCATTTCGAAATGAGTATGATTTGTATTATAAAAATTTTTTTTAAATCAACGAATTTTATGTTAGAACTAAATAAGTTAAAAGAAAACTTGCAAGCTCTTAGTTAGCATTAAATTATGAAAATGCCTCTTCGTCTGGAACCGCAAGACTTTGGTCTACTGTGAAACAGCTCATAACCAAATATTCTTTTATTTAATATTAGAATTATTGCCATAAGAATAGAAGATATACCGCAGATTATGTCACGGTAATGTCGTTATGACGTTGAGCGAGAATTAGTACCTAACTCAAAGCCACGGTGAATAAAGACTCAAAGCTTATAATTATACGATTGCTGGGTTTCTCCAACAAAACTTAAGTAAGGCTTAAGTTATAGCGCCGTGTTATTTGGTCGTGCTTGGTCGAAATGAATCAATTGCTTAGTAACGTTGAACTTAAGTCGAAGTGAAGTAAGAAATAATGTTGGAGAAACCGACCATAAAAACTTGAAATAATGTGTACGTTGAGTTGCCTTTAATCAGGCGGAAAAATTTAAGGTACTGATTCTGTTGTTCATAATACAAACGTAGTCCTTTTCGTATATTCAAATGACAATAGATAGGTATAACAACACGCTATATTGATTTCAACTTCAAAAGTATCGAAATAATGATAATATTGGCAAAAATTTAAAAAAAAATTTTGGAGCGCCACAACGGCATCGAACTTTTTTTTTCAAATAGCAACCTAAATTCGAAAGACCTTATTTTTCTGTATACAACCTACAAACATTGTGCCAGGTTTCATCACAAAAAAACTGAGAAAAAAAATGTCATCGTGAAAAAACTAAAAATTTTTCGTCAAAACGGTTACTATGATTTCGTTAAAATGTTGCGAATGTACATACATTAGGCGTTATAAAGGATGTAAAACTGACAAAAACTTTTTTTCAATATCTAAGTTTTTAGCGCCGTGACGTCATATAACTTTTTTTCAAATAAGCAATATTTTTATTAAATTATTCGAAAGACTCTATTTGTGTACAACAAAATTATGCTACGTTTTATTATAACAAAGCGGAGAAAAAAATGTCAAAGTTAAAAAACTATCTAGCAGCTTAGTGCACGGTTAATACTTAGAATGAGCGATTGCAGAAAGTCGGGCGTTGCATTCTTTTGGTTTTAATCCAAAGAACTTAAGATAAAATATCAGTGTACTGCAGTTTTCATAATGATTAATTAATATCATAGATTTAAAGACTAAAATCTGTGTTAATATTAATACTGTAAAGAAAAGTAGAACCTAACATCTGCGCCAGGCCGCCGACAAAAAAGAAGGTCGTTGACAACTTAATTAGGGTGGCGTACCTTCTTAAAGAATAAGTACCTAGTGAAATGTCATTCCGATTGAATTGAATAAGGAGATTTGTGTTTACTGACTAATAAATGAATTATTAGTAATGTATTAGTGTTATCAACACAAACAAAAGTTAAAAAAGCGTGCGAAAACATAAACGGTGAAGAGCGCTTTTTGGTCTGAGTTTAGGAAGCTTTTCTGTCAAGAATTTTGCACATTTTTTTTCTTTCTTATTACCTTAATCGCATAAATGGTGTTAAATTAGAAAATAATGGAAGAGAAATGGTTCATATTTCACAAAATTAATATTTGTTTCTCACGGATAATACCTAGACTGTATCTGCTCAATGGTCATTCCGAGGGTCATTCTTTTTTGTTAAATTTGGAAGGGATCTCAATATAAATTGCAATACATTAGCCAGCCAAGCGTATGGCAAGGTGGCGATCGAACTCAAAAACCATATGCAGAAAAAATTGTTTAACCTCAAAATATGTGAAATAATTTTAAATAGAAGTGTTCTAATTTTCATGTCTATATCTCAAACGGTTTGAGCGTGAGGGCTTTGATTCCATTTTTAATAGCGGCCCTGTATGACTGTATATGGTGTGAAATTAGAAAATAATACAGAAAAATGAGAAAAACCATTGCATCTAGTTTTCAATACTTACACCAAAGTATTTAGATTCGTAGCATGAATTTAATCTGAAGTAGGTAGGTACCACTTTAGATTTGTTTTTGCAATCTAGCTATGTAAACGTAAACAGCCAAAATCGTATAAATACTAATTCAGTTTTTATTTATTGTTATAGAAGTTTCTCTCTCGTATTTGGACAGATCATGCATCTTAACATTTTATTGCTTATTGTTGCCCTATGCGGTATTACTTCAGGTATGTACTTGCCTATTACCATTGTATCAAATTTATTACTTATCATAGTCTATAATAAACGTTCTATTATGTTTCGTACACTTTGTAATCGATAAAATGTTAGGTCTCCAGTGCTATTTTTGCATTAGCACGACTGCAAATGACGCCTGCCACGCTGCAGGTAGAAACCACTCTACCAGTTCATGCATAGCAGGAGAAGATAACTGTGTTTCGTTTTACTTTCAAAGCGGTAAGTAAATCATACGTTACTAATTTATAAATACTTACTGCACCCACTCTTTCCTTGTGTTATATCATAGGTGATGCAACAACTGCCTACAGAGGATGCTGGAGAGGCAATCCTTGCGACCACTCTTCATATAAGTCGTGCGATTATTGTACTTGTGATCATTGTAACAGAGATGCCATAGTAATTTCTTAGATTAGAATGATGTATAATTCTAATGACTGATCCTTTAATTACCTAGATAGTACCTATAACTATTGCAATTGTGAATATTGGTTTTATTTTACTTACTTATTTATCCCAATAAATAGTTTTTATTTATTTTCCTTCAAGTTATTCTGAACTTATTATACTATGACATCGTGCCTCCTTTACGACTCTGAAGCTATGTCATGCAGCGACATCTGCTTCTGTATCGTTGTGGTACGAATAAGCGAACCTTCGTACTACACATTAATATAGTTCTACGCCAATTTCATACTTCAATGACCACCCGAATGGCTATTACCTTCAAGAAGTCCCACTTAAAGTTGAAATGGAAAATTGGCACATGATCAAACACCTACGTTAGTTGTCAACAACGCGATGACCTGAAGTACGGTAGGCAAGGAACATAAAATAAAAACGAAAATGGCCAAAAGTTTGTATACTATAAATAATGAAGATTCTGAAAACCCGAAAATTTAGTCGATGGACGTTAATATTTAAAAGTAAAGCTGCCGAGAGAGCAACTGTCAAGGAAAAATAAGAGTACGGTTAAGAAAAACCTTGACATTTCATTAATAAATTCAAATAAAGATAGTAGTGCATATACACAAAGTTTGTTACAGTCAAGATTGAAAACAAGTTTCGGGAACAATGGGCCAGGTAAGCAGATATACTTTGTTTCACTGGTGCTGAATATTTCGTCACACTTTATGACGGCATAGTAAAATTAACGCAGGTCGTAAATTAGTAGTTTATTTGCATATTGTCACATTGACGTTTAAACTTATTTGTGAAGGTGTCACTATCGTCCTATTGTTCATTATTATTAGACCGTCCAAGTTGTCAATCACTTGTAAGGTATCTGGTCCTGATAGGTTATTTCCCGTTCCCAGACTTTATGATGGCTAAATATTGATGTATTTCATGTAAGTAGGGGAATTGCGCGGTATGAACCAGACTTTTTCCCATTTGTAGACTGCTCTTGTACAATACAATCGAAAAGGATACTGCCAAGACATTAGAAGCTCTCTGCAGGTTTTGTCTGCTTCTTTTTCCCTTTGAAAGGACTCAATTTCAAAATAAAACCTTGCCGAGCTTCCGAGTATCAGTTCGTCATATTTAATGGTAACGGGAATAACCTAATAAATTCGTATGAGCAAATCAAATAAGTATGTAAAATTTGTAAAATACTTTTTTTGTCTCTTATCGATTCAAATGCAATGAAAAGAGAATCACATATTTATGACATCATTTTCAGCACAAGTGAAACAATAACAAAAATTCTAGGGGGGAGGGGTCATACAAACCAATGAATTTGTTTTATTAATATTTTGGTTATAGACTACTGCTGCAATTTGGTGCGAAAGCTGTGAAATTGCATGCCGCCTTGCACCCCACTGTCCTTGTTCGTCGAGGATCTCCGGACAATTTTTACTGCGAAATCTAATGCCAGAAACCTGTTCTCTCTTAGTGTAGACGCTGGATGTATGTGAATATGCAAAATCCGAGTATCGCAATCCACCTTCTTTAGTCTGTTTGTCGTATATAACCCGGCACTTTATAACTAGTGGGTTGGACTGGTCCTAGCGAATAGCGATGTGTGAATGAAAGAGTTGGGGTCCCGGTTAGTCGTACATGAGGGCGCAGGCAAGTCCCGCCCTCACTTGCGCAGGGATCTGCTAAAAGCGTACGGCGTGTTCCCGTTGTGCCCTTTATTTTTTTGTATCCATTGGGGTATTCATCCTATGTGAAATGCTCTTTTCAGAGGCCAACTCCTAGCGTTTTCATACAATACTGACATGTCATGACCAGAGCAACTAAAGACTAGGATTAATCAGATTTTTTTTAATAAACACGTTTATTTCTGATTTGTATCCCCAGATGATTAATTCGTAGGATGTATTGTAAAACACTACTCGGTGTGGGATTTGGACTGGCCATCCAATATCCAAACTTAGTATGTAAATTTATTGGAATGTTTTAATGATTGTTTTTTGTATTATGTGTGTCAAATGTTAATTCTTTAGGAATCCCAGTGGAGCCTGTGATATTTTATAAATTTACTTGACAACCATCATAATATACATTCATGCTATTACAGACAACTAATGTTGCTATAAAGTTCAATATTAATTTTTTGGCTGTTTTTTTGGTCAGTTCTTTTTTTCCCAGCCTATTGTTATATTTGTACTCGGTGAACTACCATTTTCTAAATTTAATCTTGCAATGCGAATTATTTGGATTAAATCTCCGTTTGTAAAGCATGTAGGTACTTGTTTTATTTGTATTCCTTACTTGATCCTCACTCTGACAAGCAACACATATCTTGTAGCGACTTTTAAAAACACAACGTAGTAAGTGGTCGTTATTCAGGTTAGGTAGCTTTGTCTAGACTCTAGACGATCATGTGCCATGGGGTTCAGTTAGTTTGGGAAGGAAAGTTTTGAATTTAAATCTTGAGTTGCGCAGTCTTTTGGGGCTGACCTGGGTACAGCACAAATTTGAAATCGAGAATTGGCCCGTGACACCCTTACATAAGTCATAAAGCAAAGGTGCCGCACTCAAGAAAAAAAGAGCAGTAAAAAAAGGGTGCGGCTAAGAAAAACCTTGACATTTGATTAATAAAATAAAATTAATAAAAAAAAGTTACTTAACACAGTAATTTGCAAAATTAACAAGATTAAGAAATAACTAAGAGAGACAGGAAATGAATACATATACCTACACCAACTTGGTTACAATATGATTCATCTTTGGTGTAATAAAATCTTTTGTGAAAACTGAATGGAAAATGACATGAACTTATTAGTCAAAACAAAAAAAAAAGGTATATGGGAATTAGTGAACCGCAACTCATATCGCACATAAATTATAAACCGAAGAGTTTTTGTTTTAGGAGAGTTCCTTCCCTGGCACAGGCAGGTAACAATGGGCCCTCGTGCGGAAATTTCCAGCCCATAGTTGAGATTCGAGATCAATCACAGGTGTCGTAACTTGCAGTTTATTACCATCCCTATGACCGTCTTATTAATGTAGTATTTGTTGATCGCGGCTGTGTGGGCGAGATCACTTGTCACCTGTCAGTCGCGGAGTGATAGAACACAGTAGGATGGCACGAATATAGGACACCCGTACGTTGTGTTATATATGGCGGTTCTGAGCGTCCGAAAAGATACGAAAAATGAAATTTATTACGCACGAGGCTTGGTTTCGCACGGCAAACTTAAAGGAAAAGCTAGAAAAAGAAAAAAACCTGGCATAGCACACAGATATAGAAAGTAAAATAGCTACGGCAACAATTATGTCAATTATTATTGAATGGATTCAAATACATTCGAATATACTTACTAAATTTGATAGAAAAGTCGATTAAAAAAGATTCGCTCACAAACTCTTGCGACAAATTTCGCGACATGTTGGGTCTGAGTTCAACTCTGCAAAATTGTCGCGGTCGGTACGATTGTGCACGCGAAAACAACGATATGTGTTATCGCTTCCTCATATACTACAATGCGTAAATCTATCTCACTTAGGTATGCCTTAACTCTAGGAGCAACAACAACATCCACGCGTGCGCCCAGCATCGCTCCGCGCCAAGAATTTAGGATTGGCAAAACTCTTCGCTCCGCACCAAGAACGATGCAAACTTTGCGCGATGACCACTTCCACGTTCGAACTTGGTCTCTTTGTACGAGTGTACACTCCAAGTTCGATGAAATGAATGCACGTGGAAGGCCTGCTTAACATTTGCGCCTCTGTCCGCCTCGCTAAAGCCTGAATAATGTGAACTTTTGGCAAGCATGTTTTTAAAAATGAAAAAAGTTTTTCGGCTTAAGGTTAGTAACTTTAGCGCATTTTCCATGAATTCATCAGTATACCTCTGGAGAGGTCATACAACGGACTGTTTGTGTGTACAAAAGAAAATAAGTTATGGCATAAATATTTTTATAAATAAGAAACTTAACACTGCGTAGTCTGCGCATGCGCACACCTGATGTTTAAAGTATGCGATATGTTTGCCTTTACTAGACGAATCTCTGGTTAAAATTTAAAAAAATTTCTATAAATAAGATAGTTGAGGTAGTTTGCGCATGCGCACATCTGATTTATACAATATGCGATATGCTTTCCTTTACTAGAAGCATCTGTGGTTAAAATTTTAAAGAAATATCTCCATAAATAAGAAAATTGACATCGCGCAGTTTGCGCATGCGTGTTAATCGTCAAGATTGTTCTTGGTTGAGGTGCCAGAGCTATTAGCTACCAAATGCAAAAAGAACGAACTATAATATCTTGAAAATGTAGAAGTATAGTTAAGGCCTCGGACGGCCGACGGACGGAGAAAGTGGCCATAATAGCTCCTTCCAACATGCGTTGGAAAGTGCGCTAAAAATACAGCAAATGCAAATATGTGCGTGGTCTAAAGCAGCGATTCTCAACCTTTTTGTAATCGCGACCCCCTATTTTCTGGGTCTGATGACCGCGACCCCCTCTAGTACTTAATCCTATTGTTAATGCCATTGAGGAACCCAGTTAAATGAACTACACGCTAAACTAAATATTTTTTATTTATTGTTAGCGAGTTGAATACATACAACAGTTATGTAATGCCCTTCTACGGGGTGTCAATTTTAAAACTGTGCAGTCGGCCATATTTCCCAAACTAAAGAATATATTGAAAATCGCGCAAAACCGTTTCGGGGGTAACGAGGGTAAACCAGAATGACGTTATGAGTGACAACCCCCCGCTCCCCCTTAACTCCCCAGCCCTTCTCTTCAAAAATTCGAAATGGCAACCCCATACTTGTGACACATCGTTGGAAAGCTACTGAAAAATGCTTTCCAGTGGTTCCGATAAAGTCAATATTCATTATGACAATTTAACAAAAATTTAATAATTAACAAAAGAAAACTAAATGTTGACATTGGGCGATTTATGTTGTTATTGTCTTGTGGTGTCTCGGAGTCGGAAGCCCCGCGGTTGTAGCTGACTATGTAAGTTTTAATTACTACAAAACGACGTTTCCGTCACAACTTTCTTATGCACTTTGCATTTTGTTGAATTCGGAATTGAAATCGAAATTGTCTTGCCTGTCCTGTACCTACCGCGACCCT